ATGTATACATATATATATATGTATATATATATATTACATGTGTGTGTAATGAAACATGCGCATATATATTCACACAGGTCTTGCGGATGATAAGATACCTCTGCATCGCGCACTGCCGGCCATCTCCGCCCAAGCCACTGCGCGCAGCCTGAGACTGGTACTCGCCACATACGGCATCAGCGATACCAGGATGACTTCCAGAAAAGCCTCGTGTTCCGAAGTTCGGCCCAACTGACCACAGGTAAGCAGGAGTGTCTCTAGCGTTCGTGGATCGTCCTTACACATGCGCATACACTGTTTGAGTGCATTGATAACGAGCTCTTGCTGTTTCTGTGAGAGGGGCGTGTATAATATGCCGGTCACTCGGGAGTAATACTACAAAATGTGGTTGAAGTCTCATGATACATGGTTTTTCTGTGAGAGGGGCGTGTGTAATATACCGGTCACTCGAGAATAACATTACTGTATGCAGTGTAAAAACTCATGTTTTAACCCTAGGAAACTGTTTCATTGCTCACTCGCCAGCAGGAGTGATTGTAACTTACAGGGATTGTACTGTATCTGCATGTGCGTGCATGCACTGTAAGAGGCCGTTAACGACGGGTTCTTGCTGTTTCTGTCAGGTCAGCGTGTGATATACAAAGGTCGCTCGATACAGTCTAGTTGTATATATATATTACACGTGTGATATCTTGACATAATACTGCTTCATTGCCGTATATGCCAACAAGAGTATGGCCAACTGGCGCGGAATATATATGCACACACACATGCACAGCTCAAGAATAAGTAACTCGTGCTGTTTCAGTGAGGCTCTGTCGGTTGAGTAGTTGCCGCTTTGACCCGTAGCCACTGAACGCTAATAAATAAAACGAAGTGTGATATATATATTTATATAAATACATAGTCCTGAATCTTGTTCAGAACTACCTGTACACATCTGTGAATATTTCAAAATGATCCACATGCGAGTGGTTTGCTGACTTCCGTATACGCTTCTGGCTGATAATCTTGACTATCTACTCAGCCAGCAATTACATGTATATACGTACAAATAATATATACATGTACATATACATATATACATATACATAAGATATATATATATATATATATATATATATATATATATATATATAATAATAAATAACTAACACATAATACATAATAATAATAATATAGTATATATAGTAGTA